TGTACAAACGATATTTCAAATTCATCACGGCAAAGTTGCATTTTATCCAAAAAAAAAAAAAAAATCATCGCTATTTTTATGACGAACTTCGAAATATTTATCGTTCAATTTAATAACGCTTGAGATTGCAAATAAATGTTACGAAAAAAAAAAAAAAGATTCACAAAACGAAATAATATACGTACATCGATTTAATATTTTAAAGATTAGATTACTAGGAAAAATATTATTTAAATTTCAATGATATATTTTTAAAATAACATTTTAGCTCAAAACAAAAATAAATATTCCATTCTCAAAAATCGAACAATCTATTTTTCTTTTTAAAATTTTAGCTTAAATTCATTCGTCTAAAAATACCTATCATCCCACAAGCAACAAGATCAAATTACAGAAGAAGAAATACTATTTAAATCCCCTACTTGACTTCAACTAATCACACCGATATAATTGAAAACTGGGAAAAAACACAAAACGCAAACAAAACGAAACCGATGGCCGATGGCTTCCGGTGTTCCGGAATGAGGTTTTGGATCGTTTTGAATTTACATGCTCGTGATCACGTCCGCGGCGCCAATCCGCGTACCAGATTTTCCCGCGATGCGTTTATCGAAATGGAAGAGCGGCCAACGGCCGCTTGTCATTCCAACGTGTGCAACGGGGATTAATACGAGAACGCGACGAGTAATTTTCATCGGGATTTGCTAAACGTAAATCGCCGATTGAATAGAAATTATGGTCGAGCGATGACTATGCGTTCCACTTCCATGATTTTCGTTTTCCCATTGATTCCTTCATTTTTCTTTGATTATTTGTCTTCGATTTACGATTAATTTCACTCTATAATATGTAATTCATTAACGAATTCTGCAGATTCTCTCGTTATTTATATTTTCTTTTTGAGGAAGGAGATTTAAGAAATTTATATAATAATAATAACGAAAGTCGAAATTTTTAAGATTTTTCTAATAATAATAATAATAATTTTCTATGTAGCAGATATGTTATATTGAGAGAAATAATATGCTAGAAACTAGCATATTATTCTACTATTTCAAAGTAATGTTTTATGGCAGAGAAATAATTCACGTTCAATCGGCTTAGTATACTTAATGTTCGATTATGTAAAACACCTTCTCCAGATGGTCTCCACCATTTTTACCAATGCAATCCAATAAATTTTGCCCGAGAGAAATTTCCATAGAGGCGAGATAATCAGAAAAATAATTCATTGGAAAGCTGGTAAAAGCTGGTACTTTCTTTACAATGGACAGAATCGATGGAAGATTAATACAATCCATTGTTTTTAAAAAAAAAAAAAAAATACAGCAAGAAAATAATAATTTAAATAACATAATTTTTCTGAATATTTATACAAAATTGAAATAATCTCTTCGAATAAATTTCTAGATTTCTCTTTATAAGTGCAAATAACAACCTATTATAAGATATAAACATTCCTTCATATCAAAATTTTCTCAAGTCAATCATCTTCCCAAAATTTGTCAATCAAACTTTAACATCGAATAAACTATTATTCCTAAACTATTAATAAATTTATAATATATAATATAATATATAATAATATAATTTTAAAATATAAATAAATTAAATATTAAAATTTATAATTTATGATTATTACAAACTTTATACATTATCCGAACCACAAATCGTCATCCTAAGACAATCGTCAAAATGTTCTCGTTCGATTATTCGAGATATATCGAATTAAAGAAGGATCGTCGCGATTTCGCAAAACAAATATATCCCGCGTTTAAACGAAAGAAAAGAAAAAGAAAAAAGAAGAAAAAAAAAGAAAAAAACTCAGTCTCTCCTCGAGGATGCCGCCGAGCACGCCGTTTATCGAGGATCGTGAATTAAATATTCATCGGAATCGATTCGAGCCGAGGCAGAAGACACCCTTTCCCCCCCCTGCCCTTTGGTCCATGGGAATTGTGATATGTTTCAGGGAACGAGGCGCGTTCCTCTTCAATCCAACATGCATCTAACATTCATGAATTTATCCGATCCGCTGAACTTTTATCCGCGACGAGGCTGAAGAACGCTTACTGGCGGGAATTTCCATCGTTGCATTGGTTGTTTAATGATGCCCGTTTCAGAGGGGTAACGCGAAACTCGACCTCTCTGATCGAAGGTAGGATCGGTTTCCAACTTATTATTCCGTAGTGGAATTTTAGAGGGGTTTGAAGAGGATTCTTATTGAAAGATTTTCCACACCTGGTTTTCTAGAATTCACTTCTCTGGAAGGAGAAGAAATTTTGTCCGTGTTTTCGATAGTTAATAATAATAATATTGGACACGGTGTTCAAAGGTGTTTGGATTTATATTAGGTTGATTATTTAATGAACTGTCATAGATAATTAAATTTAATATTTATTAAATTAATGGTTGACGTGGATACTTGAATATTTAATAATCGTTAAATTAATTCTGATTTCTTTTGGATAAATAATTGGGAATTTCCAATACGAGTTAGGGGGAATCGAATTACGGTCAATCGTGAAAAAATATTTACCTAAGAAATGACAAATCGTGGTTTCTCCACGATCGAGTATTTTCAATGTTTACCAATTATAAAAGAAAATAATGAAATTTAGAATCGATGTAACGAACTCGTCAGCCAGGAATTTTGTGAAATAACAGCAGGTGTTTCGATTAGATTAGTTTTTGCCTCGCACACGCGTTCTTGCTAACTGTAACAATATTTATTTTTACACACGCGTGAATCATCCTCGGCATGAGAGGATGTGGTATTAAGTAAACGATGGAAAAAATTCGGTCAATAAAGTACACAAGAGCAGCGAATTTAAATGGAAGATCAAATCTTACTCGCCTGGAAATCCATCGAATCGAAAAGAGTTAAATAAAATTTACAAATTTTTCATATCATCAATATAAAATGTCTAATTTTCGAGGTAAGTTTTTAATATCTCAAAACAATCTTTTCCATCCCTCTTATTTTTTAAATAATCCAGTTATAAGTAAAGAGATAAAAGATTGACGAAAATTTTACTAATTTGGAATATCAATCCAAAAATAAATTAAAAATTCTAAATTTTTTTCTTTATCAAAATAAAAAAATACGAAATTTCTCTTTCCACGAGCTTAAGCAACAGCTTTCTCTATACGCTCACTACTAAGGACCCAGTAGTATTCTGCATGATTCTGCAATTACGAAAAATTTATGCAAGGCGTAAAGGCGACTTCGTGCGTTAAGATGGCCGCAGAAAGGATCTCAAAGGTTGAATGTCTTGCTTGCCACGGCAGTTACTTTTAATTAGAGCGCTAGAACGCTCTATCTTTGAGCGTTTAAAAGAGGGGAAAGCAGAACACCGACTTAGCAGCAATTTTTACCCATTAAGAGTCTCGCGAGACCAAGAAGAATAAGACCGAAATTTTCTTCCCCAGACTTTCTCTATTCTATCTTTTACACTATTCTACCCTTCCCTTCGTAATTATTCAAATATTCGATTCGCAATTATTCTCACAATTATCGTGGATTTTCCTTCTACTAGAAGAAGAAAAATATTTTCTTGAATCTATTGTCACGGCACAAGATTATATTATTATTCGTTTCATATTTAATTTAAATCGTAATATCGAGAACTATTTGTTTAAAAATATAACAAAATGACTATCTACCTATTATTTATTTTTTTTTAATTTTTATTATCTCGTTAATTAATTGGATATTAATTATCGTTTAACGATAAATAATTATTTCGATATCGATGCAATCTAAAATATTTCAATAAAATATCGCGAAATATTAATATTCATATAATTTTTCATATTAAAATAGGAAATAAATTGAAATATTTTATCACTTCGGCCAATTACTGACAATTAAAAATGTTTAATATCGAGGAATATTTTAATTAGCAGTTCAATTTGTTGTAACGATACACAGGATATTGTTAAAGAATTAATTACCATCGATACGAGATTTAATCACTCGTTTGTACTCACCCTTCGACTGTTGCCATCTTTTGGGTTTAGGTCCGAGGCCACAGTGCCGAAAATGGTTGGCTGTAACAGAAAACGTTTTTTATCGATTATTTATGTATCATTTCAAACAAATATCACAATATCAGAATTCAATTGATTTATTAATTTATATAAAAACATTTTCATATAATTTGATTTTCTCTTCTGTCGAATCGAAAATTTTAAGTTTCACGATTTCAAATTTCATTTACATAATCGCACAATCGTTTTGTAGGTAACGCTAATGGCATCGAATATAGAAATTAATAGAAAGCAGTAGAATAAAAAATTTCTAAAAGATAATAATTTAACAATAATTTAAAACTATGAAAATTAAAATTAATTATAAAAATTAAAACAAATGACGTAAAGATTGATGTTTTGTTAACGATAGCATTGATTTTTCACATTACACAAATAACCATAGGATTAATGATTCAGCTTTATTTTTTCGTAAAATATTGAAAAAGTAATTAAACTACTATCCAATATTAATAACCGATTATCGAATAATAATAAATCAGATCAGCCTATTTCATATACTATAACGACTTCCTAACGATATAAATATTGTTAAAAATACAATCTTTCACGATTTTATTAGCCCATGGTCAACATTATTAATCATTATTTAAAAAATCCATTGACAAAATTCAGAGAAATCGAATCGAATACCTCTTACATTGAACTTCGATCGTACGAATTGTAATATTGGAATCTGGATCGAGAGAGAAATCATTGTCTCTCTCTCTCTCTCGGCCAAAAATTCGGCGCAGGCGGTCAACCAAACGTTGAGCCAATGTAAGCACAGGTTTACGAGAGAAACGAAAAGAATCATCGGCGATCGATCGTGGCGAAATCGGCAATTACACCTTTCAGCTTTTAACCGGCTGAATATCGCGGTTTTTTCAATCGAACCTCTGTCAATTTCGAAATGGGAAGGGATGATTTCCCACGTGAAATCGTGCGGACTCGTTCGGGAAAACTGCCGAAACGCGGCAGTAAAAGCTGTCGCCCCGTAAATCTGCGGAATGCCATCCAGCATGACTGCAGTCCACCCATTAACTGCCACCCCCTCCTCCCCTCTCTCACCGAGGAAATGCATTCGCCTGGTTGTATTGGGAAGTAAGAGGAAGCGGCACTCTTTCTGGGGATGTATGAAAATAAAAAATAAAGAAAAATAAATATATATATAGCACAGGGGAGAGGAGGAAACAGGGGTGTTTAGAAATTATAGCCCGGGTATAGTTTATGCTGAAAAAAGAGGCGGAGACTTGGTGATTTAGCGACGCAATCTCGCTTAATTCGACCCCTTCCTTCGGTACAAATGGAGGATACTGGAGTAACAACTGTGCCGTTCCATTATCTGCACGATTGTTTGCGGCCCCGTTTGTTGGTTTAATTCATTGTGGCGAGTCTCGGATTCGTATGATAGATTTTTTTTGCTCGAATACCGAAACTCGAGGAACGGGGGTGAATAAGTTTTTGTGAAGGGATTTCGAAGATTAATGATAATCTTTAATTTTTATAATCTTCATAATATACTTATAATCTTTAATTTTTGGGGTGAGCTTCGAATTTCTAGATAGATTTTTCGTTCGAATATAAAATTTAGAAGAGTTCGAATGTTAGATAGCGATAAGACGTAATGATGATTGAAATCGTTATAATATTTATCGATACAATGGAATATTTCAGAAATGTGTAAATTAGAGGAAGGTGTAAGAAAATTCTGAAAATCCAACGATCGGACGATCGAATATCGATTAAAACACGAATCGATGGGATAACAAACTGCTCGATTCACAGAGCTCGAAATTCTTCGACAAATACACAACGATCCTGTACACATTCGTCGTTCTGTATATTATATCCCGTCGATATCGAATCTTCCAAATGAATCAACGAATGAATCGATGTGAAAAAAATGAAAAATGAACGCCACTCGAAAAATCGATAATTTCATAAACCAGAATAGATGAAAGGATTATCAAATAGGACAATGTGAGCGCTTGTATTCTGCATTAATCTCTTTGACGAATAGGAAATTGTCGATGACACGATCTCAATCTATTCGCGTTTTCCGATGTAACAGAATAATAGGATATAGGAATATACAAATATATTTGATATGAATTAATCATTAGACACGCTAATTACTCATTGTCGTCGACATTATACCTTCGTCGATCCTCTACCATATTATTTTGTCATTCAATAATAAATCACACGTAAATGCGTATCGTAAATTCCCCAATGGTTTAGAATAACACATCACCGGTAATAATCCCCGATAATTCTATTGTCTCCAATCTCAAATCAGATCATGTCGGTTGCGAATCGTTTGGATCAATAATATACACCCATTAATTGACCCATTGAATCGAATTTTCAATTCCTAATCTAATTTCCACTTTTCTCTCCGTCATAATCTATTACGAATCGAGAGACGAATAAAATTCATTTTACAAATTTCATCAATTTCTTTCAATCCTTGAAATAATTCTTTTGAAAGAATATTTGAAAGAAAGAAAGAAAGAAAGAAAAAAGATACTTATTACGAGATATTTAAAGATCTGATCCATATGCAATCAAATATAACAACGCCCAAATCAATATAAGGATCTGAATGAATATTTTTTTTTCAAAAAATGTTCAGTGAACATTTTTACAATTTGCCTCTATAACAACGACTCGGCATACAATATAAAAAATAATCATTATCCTGTTTGGAATTGGTGCAACGTCCAAAAAAATAAAAGGAGCACAGCACAATATCAAGCAAACAATTCGAGGCGAATCAATATTACGTGTCACATGGATAAATATAACCGCGTGTACTCCCGTGAATCGAGTTTTCAGTTATTGCGTACACGTTATAGCAACTATGAGAATTAATTAAATCTCCTCCACGCTACGCGTTTAGTATTATTTATCCCGATGTTTATACAAATTTCAAAACATGTAGCTTCTCGTATCAATGGGCTACCGTATGTTTCTGTACACGAATTATTGTATACGAAATATGAAACCGTATCTATATGATGCGTTCGATGTGGTCCATAAATCAGTGAAATTAAAAAGATGATAACTATGACGTTTTTTTTTTTTTTTTAGAATGAAACTTTTTTTCGCGAGTCAAATTCATTCTTCTTTCGTTTATTTTTTTTCTTTCTTTTTTTTTTTTTTTTTTTTTTTTTTTTTTTTTTTTTTCTGAACAAAAAGAAAAGAATGGGCTCCTGTTTGGTCGTTTATGAAAGCTTCGAACGTAATTCGTGATAATGTAGGTTGGAGAAAAATCGATGTGAAAAACATGGAGAACATAAAAACTCACTCAGAGTAATTGTTATCAGTGTGGATGTACAATAGGAAAAAGACGATTGGATAGGGAAGAAGTATTTGAAAAGTGACGAGAAGGGAGGATTTGATGGAAATTTGTACGAATTTTCGAGGATATTTTTATAAAAGGATGTAAATCGAGAAAGAAGATTATATGATATAATTTTTTAAATCCAGAATTATTATTATTATTATTATTATTATTATTATTATCTCTTAGATAAATTTCTATCATTAATTTTGCTATACGATAATATATTCATAGAAAAATTATAAAAAAATCCACTACGAAATTTTCTGCTTTTTATCGTTTTCTGTCAGGGTGTCGTAAAAATTTCGAACGAAAGAAATTATAAAATTTTCCTTCCGTCCAGAGATACCAGTTTCTTCCGGTTCGTCCGCGATATCAAGCCAAGATTCTTGACGGCACTTTGTAATTTATGACGTAACAGGGTCAGGTACGGCACGTCGAAGGAGAAAAACAAGTCGAATCGACTCGAACATCCGCAACACGGAATCCGCGCTCAATCGTTCCCTCCTTATCTTTATCCGCTTCGCTGGATCGGTCAACAATCGCGTCCCTAATTCGAAAAAGCGACGAGAAAAAGGCTGTTCGACAAGGCTATTCTCGCGAAAAATTTTTTCACAATTTTCTCTCAGTATTGTTGAATTAATTTTTTTTTTTTTTTTTTTTTGTTTCCTTTGAACTATCATTATTGAGGTGCAAGCTAAATTTCTCTTATGAGTGATTTTACTAACTAAAAATTTTCTTTCCTAATATTTCGTGATTGAATTACACATTATTATTATTATTGTTATTATTGTAAATGTTTTTTAAATTATTTATTTGATTTATCATCTTTTAAGATGAAATTCTATGTCAATAAATTATATTTTCCGTATATTATATATTTTCATAAATTTTAAATGATAAAAGTTACGTATAAATTTTTTGATAAATTAAAAAAGCTAAAAAATAAATTAATTAATGGAATAAGAGTTTCGTTATTTTCGATTTCTTTCTCTCAAATTCTTGAGAAATTTCCATCCATTTATTTTTGGAAATAAGAAAAGAAATATTAGATTTTTGTCTATGTCGAAACGATATCGAAACGAAAAAATTCACGTGTATATACAATCGTGTAAAACACGTAAGAGATAGTTTCGTTATCAGTGTCGTGTCAATTCCGCGGAATTCTCTTTGTTCCGCGTTGAAAACCGCGTACAATGGAAACCTGTTCGTTGACAAAAATGCACAGGAAACAAATGAAAACAAATAATCGAAAATCCGTGGGAAAATTTTATTCGGCAAAAGGCGAGGTGTGCATCGCCATTTTTTTGAAAATACAAAAAAAAAAAAATTAACCAAATGAACGCTTCTCGTGGAGGAAGGAACAATGGAAAGTGGCTCTTTTCAAACTTTATCCGCCTCAAAAATGATTGACATGAGAAAATAAGTAAAAATATATATTTCCATTGAAAACTATTAGAAAAGCAAATATAATAGAATCTATAGAATAAAATT